TTTATGGAGGGGAATGTGGCCTCAGGGAGGACCTGGGAGTAGCATCACATGCATTGTGTCCAACCTCATTAGCCGGCCCAGCGGGACTCCGTTGCCACACCAGTGCCGCCTTGGTGAAGGGAAGGACGCCCTGAAGATGCTGTTAAATGTATGAGGGGCAGCAAAAGGCTGCAAGAACTCAGCTAAATGGCCTGGCCAGCACCTGCCTGGAGGGTCCAAGTGGAAACACAATAACTCACAGGCTGTCGCACCTGCCCCAACCTCCACTTCTTCCTCAAATCCCATCAGAAAAAGGGAGAGACAGGGACATGGTGATAGGAGGGAGAGAGAAAGGCACAGGCAGAGAGGAGAGCGTAAGTCCTGGGCACAAATGGAACCTGCAGTGTTGTTCAGGCCCAGGGAATCCTCCAGGACTGGGGCAGGGTAGCTGAGCATAAAAGCAGCTTCTTTGTCTTCTAGAAGCTTCAGGGTCTGCCAGTTGTAGCTTACTAAGACCACTTCTCCAGGGCTTCCTTCATAGCTGGAGCTCAGAGCTGCCCTGTCTGAACCCTTCACATTGTGGCGAGATCAGTGTCCTGCCTTCTGTCCCCTTTCCTCTTGCCATGGACTTATCAAGCCTCTTTCTAGGTTCCTTTAGGTTCAGGTCTCTCCCTCCTTTCCCTGGTCCTGAGGCCTCATCAGGAAAACTCAGTGGTCTATTCTTCCAGCATGGGTCTCCCCTGTCTCAGTTAAAGGCTTATGTTGGACACTGACTTCATTTGGCAAGTGTCCCTAGAAAAGTAGGCCTGAGACCGGGTGTAGTGGCTCATGCCTGTCATCCCAGCACTGGGAAGGCTGAAAACAGGAGAATCACTCTGAATCTGAGCTGCGTAGTGAGACCCTGTACCAAATAAATAAAAAAAAAAAAAAAAGAAAGAAAGAAAAAGAAAGCAGGACTGATTCTGCCATAGTGGAGACCCCAGAGTATGCCTATGTGCATGTGAGGTTTCCATCCCATGCCTGCAGGAGGGGGCAGTGTGGTGGCACACCTTGGCAGATGGCCTTCTGTCTCCCCTGGGTTCCCTCAGGAGGCGCTCCCTGATGCCAGTCCTGCCTTTGTCCAGCTCAGCGGGGGGACCTTGAGCTGCCCAAGCATTGAGCCTCCTTCCCTGAGCCTCAGCTGGACTTATCCTCTCATGTTGCTTCTTACCCCGGAGAAAGAAGAATTAAGCCTCTGATCATCCCTGCAAGACAGCGGCCTGTCAACCTCAGCTCGTAATCCACCTGCATCAGAGATCCGAGGCCTGGGAACTCAAGCTGTCCTGGTACCCGCAGGTCTCTGGCAGACGTTCTGTCCACACCCATGCCCACGACGCTCCCTCTTCATGTGTGTGGGCTGATGAGACCAGAGGATTCCCCTGGAAGCACCAGAAGTAGAATGGAAGGCTGAGCCTAGGACGCGCCGTGCAGCGGCCTCCTCTGTGAGACCGCAGGGCAGTGCCCTTCTGCTGACCAGGGCCCACAGTCCCTCCAGGTTTCCCAAGCAGAGGCAGGTAGTGGGTGGAGGTTCTAGGGCAGTGATGGCGACTATTCAGGGCTTGCAAAGGTGACAAATAGCCTGCTGTGCACAAGTGCTGAAAGTTCACCACCACAGTTCTAGGGGCACCTGTCCTGAGAAATGGAGAGCCGGAGAATAAAGTTCTAGGAGCTCATGTAAGGACAGAACAGACTGCTGCACGAGGCCTGGGACCCTCCACGCTCCCTCTGGCTTTTTAATTTCCAGCCCTCCAGACTCCTCTTGCCTGCTGTCTGCAAAGCCTCTCTTCCCCTCTGCTGGTTCCTTTCCTTGCCTCTCTGTTCCTCTCCCTTCTTTCTTCTCTTCCTCTCCAGCCCTCTCATATTCCTTCTCATTCCATCTCTCCTGTCCACACCCTCCTCTTGTTCCTCATTCCTCTCTTTTTCCCCCCTTCCCCCAGAAGATTTAATAGATATTAAATTATTTTAAACCAACTTTCTTAAAAAAAAAAAAAAAGCTTGGTGATAGTGCTGACTCAGGCCCATCTCACTGTTTAATATTGAATATGCAATTAATAGATAGATGTTTAGGTTTGGCTCTCTTTCCCCCTTTTCTACCACAGGAAGAATAAAAGAGCTGATTAATCTGGCTTGGGGCAAGTGTCAGTGGCAGGAGATATATGAGAGAAAGGAGATGAGGTTAGCAACTTGGAGTCAGAGAGCGATTGCCTCCCAGGCAAGTGAGGGGGAGAGGGACAGAGGCAGAGCTCTGCGAGCCTCGGGGACTCCTGCACTGCCACAGGTTCTGAGACCTTGGCCTGGGACCTGCCTGCCCCCTCCCCAAGTGTCTCTCCCTCCGTCCTCCAGAACTGTGGGCCTGCTTCATGGCACCATCGCTTCTTCTCCACGTGTGACACCCCCCCACCCTCCCTCAAGACCAGAGGTGCCTTCTCCTCAAGCATCGCCTTCTCTGAGGCTCCTGGCTGCCCCGCCCTCTATGACTTCATTCTGGGACTTCTGGTGGCATCTGCTGTCCAACACTCCTGCCTCCACTGGGGCTTTTTCCCTTGGTGGCTGCCTTCTGGCCTCCTAGCTGTGCTACCTAATGGAGTGCTGCCGCAGGTGAGTCACTGCAGGCCTGGGTGACCGTGGACCAGCTGGGCCTGCTTTCTGGAGATGGTCTCCAGGAAAGACCCCTGGGTCTCTGGAGCCCTCTGGATGAGGCTAGGCAAGGACTCTGCTGAGAAAAGGGCAGGAACAGGTGGCTTAGGCCCAGTGGGGTATGTTCACTCAGTTACCTCACAATGGAGCCATCTTCACCCCTCACCTAACCAGACCTTGACTGCCAGGGCCCTCAGGGCTAGATGTGCTCCTCGGCATGGGGCTGCCTGCTCCTGCAGGCAGCACCAAGATTGCAGCCCAAGGCTGGAGCATGTGCTGAGAAGCTCAGGCTCGGAAGGGGTGGATCATAGAGGCTTTGTGCCAAACCAGATACTACTGGGAGCCCCAAGCATGGTGGTCTGAGCTGGAGGGGTGAGGGAGTGCTCTGGGACAGATGATAGGTACCAGGCACGAGCAGCCCACCTCTTGTCACATGATCTCCCAGGATAACTGGCTCTCCAAATTTGTAAATAGCTTTAGTCAGTTTCACCTTTTTTCCCTTAATTTTCTGGTAACTTCAGTGGGGGGGGGTGCAGAGTTAAAAAAGAGAAATTCCTTAGTGATTGGCTAAACCACTGGACAGGTAGAGCCGAGTTGTGGAGGACCCTGGGCATGGGGAGGGTAGTAGACATCGTCACTTGGTCAGAGCCAAGCTGGAGGGAGGGCTTGGTAGAAAACACCAGAAGCTCCTGGGAAACATCTTGATGGCTATACCTGAAGTCACCTTCTCAGTATAGGAAAGGCCTCAATTTCATGCACTTTTTTCAGTTCTCTGATGGAATGTTCTGGATTGTTCTAGCCCTTCCTAGGTGGTCCCTATTCTGGAGAAGGCCCTTTCCGGTAGGAGACTGGAGGCAGTAGGTCCTCTCCCCATCCCTCCTGGGGTGTCCTACTGATATAACCACTGCTCAGCTCCCCAAGTGGTTAAACCTCTGCGTGTCCTTAGGTTAGGGGTCCTCCGAGGTGGGCAGGGCACAGCATTCCCATGGAAGTCTCTGGGCTGGCTGAGACTGTTTGGCCACTTGCCTAGAGAAGTCTCTGAATTCAAAAATCAGGCCTGAAGCTGGGCAGGGCCAGTAGTGTAAAGCTCACTGAGAGATGGAGAGGGGGTGGTGGTCAGGAGGTGGGTAGCAGGAAGATATCCTTCATCCCAAGGAAGTGGGCCAGGAAGGGAAACCTCACAGGGGCCTGAAAAGTGTGGCTCCCTTTGGGGCTGAGGTGTCTCTTTCTGTCCCTCAGACCAGTCAGGATGGGCTCAGGGTCAGGGGGACAGTTTCTTGTGGGAGGAACCAGTGCTGGGGGGGGGGGGGCAGAAGCCTGACCATGGTGCTGAAGGTAGCGACCCATCAGTTCACAAACTTAATCTGTTTTACAATTTGGGGGAAGATGGCTGCATTTGTGTTTGTGTGGGGAAGACAGCCATGGCTGTATTTGTTGCCTGATGCTGAGTTTGTGAACAGAACCACAATTTTGCCCAATTCTTTCACTTGTGAACTGAATTATTTGCAAACAGAAGTGTTGGTGAACCAAGGTCTTCCTGTGCTTTCTCCACTCCCTTCCTTTTCATTTAAAGTTGCAGCATGTTCAGATCCTGCCTAGGGGATCCTGTGGGCAGGGCTGTGTCTGGAATGGGGCCGGGTTACCTCTGGAGCTGAGGTGCAGCTCCTGAGAGGCTGTTGCTGGGTACAGAGCTGTCTGGAGCTGTCGCTTGCCCCGCCTTTCCAGGCTGGGCTTCAGTGTGAAGCAGTTCCTTAACCTGCTCTCCACGCAGGGGCACAGCCGCCTCACGCAGACTCTGAGGCTGGGCAGGGCCAGTCCACATTCTAGGGCAAGCAGTAGTGGGTGAGGCCATGTCCTCTTCCTCTGCCCCCTTCACAATATCTGGCCCCCGCCTGTACCGGTGTCTTCATGCTCCATCCTTACCTCCTCAGCAGCCTGCATGTCCCACACCTCAACACAGCCCCTCACAAATGCTCCCTCCAGTCTGAACCCTCTTAGGGCAGAGCTGCGGCCATTGCCAACCTCACGGCCAGGCCCACCTTCCTTCAGACCCCATCACAAAGGGGTCTTCCTCTTTGAGACCAGGGCAGGCACACCTTTTTGGGTGTCTCCGAGGAGAAACCCCAGGACTATAACTTTCCCTCGAGCAGTGGCAGGACTCTGCTGCCAGAAGGCCGGGCTCTCCCAGTTCCTCACTGTCTTTCACACCAGTCACCTGGAGCTGCAAAGCCCTGACACTAACCTCCAGCCCGAGGTCTCCCCCCAGGAGGAGGAGCCAGGGAGTCGCTGCGGGGACCAGGTGGGCAGGGAAGAGAGGAGGGGGGCAGAGACGAGTGGGCCCTCACGTGAAGGGGGCTGGCGCAGGCAGCTACTACCTCCTCGGCTCTCGCTGTCCGCGGGCTTCACCTGGATTGGCCGGTTCATCTGTAACAAAGCACAGGGGACGGTGTTACGGGAGGCCGGGAGACACGGGCAGACACCTGTGCTCACGGATGCCCATTTCTGCCTACAGACCGCACCCAGCACCCTCCCACCTTGCCATTGCAAGGCACTCCCTCAAGCCCTTGCGGTGCCCTTATTTCGAAGGGTTGCTCAGGATTGGAGACACCGTGGGGCTCCCCCTTACACTCAGAGCAGCTCTTGCTAGCCTGTCAGGGCAGAGCTAGCAAGGTTGACAGAATGTTCCTTCCTCTCCTGCCCTGAGTCCACTAGGGGCTCCTGTATCTATCCAGGGCTCAGCTGTGGCCCAGCCCTGGGTGCCTCAAGACAGTCGGTGTTGCCACAACAAGCCAGTCTGCGTACAGAGAGACCCCGCCCTGCCCCGCCCGGGCTTTGAGCTCCCCCCCCCGCCCCACCCCCCAAGCATGCCGGATGGCAGTAGCTAAATTTGCGCAGCTTCCAGCTCCTCCGCTGGAGCATAAGTCAGGGCTGGGTTCCCTGTAGCAGCCAGCACTGTCCCTTCAGAGTTTGGGTGGACTGGGCCTGGTCACTGTCTTCCGTGGTGTCCGTGTGTCACGAGTCCCCAAGGCACTGCCGGACCAACAAGCCCCTAAGCTTGTGGGCCCCAGCCTCTCTCGGGATCCATGTCAATGCGCCGTTCCAGCCACTAGGGGTCTCTGAACTCCAGGCATCCCGGCTCCGCACCCGTTTTCAACTCGTGCATGCAGGCACCAGGGTGGACTTTCCAGCTTTGAGTTCCCACCGTATTTCAGACAATAAAAATGATAGAAATAACGATGTTGCATCCTGCCTTATGTCTTTGCCGGTACCGGCTGCCATTTCCCTCCAGGATGTCTTATTATATTTGCATTTGTCTCATAAACAGGTCCCTGAGAAGCAGGCATGGTGACACATGTACTCCTACTTTACAGACGGTGAAGTCAAGGCATAGAGGTCGTGAGCTCTCCCCTCCTGGCCCACCCTGTGTTAGGACGAGGCCAGAAGCCGCAGTCGGGTGCTTTGAGATTTTGTTGCCAATTTTGTCCTGTTTAGGGGCTGGGCCAGCCAGTCACAAGCCTCCTGCCTTCCAGTCTAGGATTGGGAATGAGTTTTGGCTGGATCCAGACGACTAGGGGGGAAGTAAGGATGCCCGTGACTCAGCAAGGTGAAGCTGAGGCCAGAAGAAGGACAGAGGCTCAGGAGGAAGGACAGAGGCAGGAGGCAGGACACAGAGCAGACGGGGAAGGAGGCAGAGGGCACCAGGGCTGGGGGCCGGCCGCCAGTGCCAGTCCACTGAGAGGGGTCAGGGTGTCACTCCAGGTCCTCACCTGATACCCCTGATGGAATTAAGAACAACAAAAGGTGCTTTGCACAAGAGTTCTGACAGCAGGAGAAATCATCTCAGCATACTTGACCATAAGAGGAGGAAGGGACGTAATGATATTTCTGGGTTCCTCACAAACACCACCTTTCCAGGGCTGGAGGGGAGGGCTCACAAGGCCAGCTAAGCACCTGGATGTGGGAAAGGGCTCCAGGCCATTCCTGATTTGCTTTTTAGAATTCAACGTCTGGCCTTCTCCCAGGCTGCCCAAAGCCTTCCTTTCTCACCTTCCCTCAGACCTGCAGTGTTCTTCTACTCCAGCAAGCTTCTGGCCTGGACCCAGCTCTGGCCAGAGTGCCCTCTTGCACATAGTTCCAACAGTCTTAGAGATTATGTAAGTTCTCAGTTGTCAGTGGTAGGGATTGTTATCTCTGTGTTGCTGACCAGGATTCGGCCAGGAGAGGCTGGTGCAGCCCTGACAATGGCACAGTCGTTGGCCTTTCTGTATGTCCTATCAGTGACCCCAGCCTCTCTGGGAGGAGGAGACCCAGGAGCAGGAGAGTGGAGAAATATCCACATGGAAATGAAGGTTTGGGGTCAGGTTCCTTGAGCCATCTAACTGACACAAGCTTTTAGCCTTGAGTCTGGCCCACTCCTATTGCAGGGCCACCCCAGTCTCCACATCTTCCTCTCCAACACAGGTCCATGCCCTGAGCTTGCAGGCTCACCCCTACCTCAGCTTTCTCTTCTGAATATACTACTCATTCTTTGGGGCTAGTCACAGGATCCCTTTTGTAGACTGACTTGTGTCCCCCCCGGACTCATATGACAAAGCTGTGATTCCCATTGTGACTATATTTGGAAACAGGAACTTTGAGGATGTACCTAAGGTTCAATGAAGTGCAGGGCCTAATTCCACAGGCTTCTGTCTTTGTAAGAAAAAAAAGGCACCTGGAGCATAAACTCACAGAGAAAAGGCCATGTGAGGACACAAGAAGGTGGCCTTCTTCAACCCAGAAAGAAAGTCCACCTAGCCACTGGCCCTGCCCACACCTGCATGTTGGACTTCCTGCCTCCAGTTTTGAGGTGGTTTAAGCCATCAGTCTTCTCACTGTAATAGCCCCAGCAGATAAAATGAACCCCTTAGTCCACGAAGTCTGGCCCACTCCCAAGGGTGAGGGATATATCACAGTGTTCCTGATTTTCCATGCAAAAGGCATACTCAAGGATTGACTTCCCAAGGTGGGGGACACAAGCTGTCAAGCTTCCCCCAAAGGGTCTCCAGTGCTTTTGAGAACGTGAACAACCGCTATACACATTATATGGCTAGATTATAACTCCTCCTGGCATGGAAGTGAATAAGTTCTCCTTAACTTCAGTCAATGAAATGGAGCTTGGGAGAGGCTAAGAAACCCACCTGAAGTCACACAGGTGGTAAAGGTGATATCAGGATGAAGTCAGGACTCTTGCCCCTTGCCTATGTGTTCCAGTGATGCTGAAGGCTGGCAAGGCAGTGCTTTGTGATGGTCTGGGAAAGTTTACAGCAGAGGCTAAAGGGGTATCTAATGGTGGATATGCCAACAAGGATGGGGAGAAGGGCGGGGCTGCCCACCAGGGCCAGCATGTGTGATAGGAAGGCAGGGAGCAACGCTGTGTGGAGGGCCCACTGCAGGCAAGAACACGAGGAGCAGAGCTTTCAGCCTTAGGGCCACTGTAGGGAGGAAGCACAGGCCACCGGGAGGAGAGACCCTTTTCTGAGTTCCATACCAGTGTTTTCTGCATGGGACAGAGAGCAGCTGGGGTAAGTGTTACAGATTCAGGGACTGGGTAGAGCTGTTTCTGGTATGATGAGCCCCATTTTGATGTTAAATCAAGCAAGGCAGCGAAATCTCTCTGTGCCCTTCTCTTCCAGTGGGCAGCTCACCCTCAGTAGCCATTCCACGGCCCCTGTCCTTGGTACTTGGGTGTGTGTGACATTTGGCCCCACATTCCCAACTTAAGCCTGGCGTGATCCTCTCTGGGCACCTTCCCTGCTTATATCGGCTCTGGACAGTGTTCCCAGACACCGTTTATGGCTTGGAGCTGGGCTAGTTCACTCACCCGTAAATCCCTCCACGGACCCCTTAACTTCTCTCCAGCTCCACTGTGGCTCCTGATAGGGGCCTAGGGTCTCAGCCAGTTTCCCACCTACCCTCAGCCATGGACTGGACACCTATAGGTGCTTTAAACAGACTAGTGGTGTAGAACTGATTACTCCAACTGGAGCATGACTCCTGGGGCAATTTTTTGTGCCCCAGTATGATATGAGGGTAGGCGGTGTCCAGGGCTTTGTAGAGCTTGTCAGACAGGTGCCAAGCTAAATGATGAGATAAACGTAGCTTGTGATTTCTTAATTCTCAGCAGATATGGATTGTAGGGCTCTGGTGGGAAAGTTTCTCAGCTGGAGCTGACTGTACAGTGGGCTGGGCCCTGGTGGGGGGCCTCCTGCTCCTGTCTCCAGCCCTGTCCTGGTCCAAGCCTTGGCTCTGCCTTGAAGAGGGAGGTAGAACAGAACAAGCTGGCCTGGGCAGAGGAGGGTAGGCAGGGCTGCAGAGATGCAGAGAGAGGACAAGAGAGGAGAATGCCTGGCTTGAAGGAGAGACAGGGGAGGAGGGAGGAGGCAGAGAAGAGCTGGGAAGAAAAGTGAAAGCCCCAAAGGGGTGACTGCTGCCTCTCTGCCCGTCTTATATCTGTGCCCCTCAGGTCCTGCCGCCCCCCCCCCCCCCCGGCCTCTGCACGGCCTTATCTCCTCAAGGCACAGTTGTTCTTTCCAGCTGTGTGGTGTCCCTCTATGTGGCCCTGGACTGTGCTGGCAGGAGCCTGGTGGGGTGACAGCTTTGTTGCTGACTCTCCACATTGCATTTCATCAGTGTCCCTATGGAAGCCCTGTGGCCTTCAGTCTGGGTCCTGCCTCCAGGGGCCCATGGGGGCTGTGCCCAGGCCAGGCTGCCTTCAGCGGGTCAAGAAAGCTCCCTAAGGTCTCTAGAGGCTGCTAGTACCAGTCATCTGGGGACACCACTTGTGAATTGTGTTCTCCGTCCAGCCAGGGCCTCTCTCAAGGGAAGCAAGTGACCCTGCCCTGGACCCGGGGACATCTTTGCCCCCCCAGAGCCCTTTCTCTGTTCTCTGGCCCCTTCCACTCTGGCTCTGCTGCCCTTCCCCCTCCCTAACCCTCTGCCATTTTTTGCATCAACACATATCCATGCATTAAACAAGACATTCCATTAATTTCTTCATCATCATAACTTAAGCTGGGACATACCCTTTAAATATTCATTCAGCTATGAAAACTGGGCATTAAAATTTTAATAATGTCAAGCTCATTTGAACCAGCCTCCTTGGGGACGATTACGATACAATTAGAATAAATACGATGATTGAGCCAGTCGAAAGACTTCACCTGTCCAGCGTGGCTCCCTGTGAAAGGAGAAGCCTGTGGCTGTGGGCAGACAGACCTACAGGCCAGACATGTGGCCCCCTTCTCTCTTGTGTGCGCTCCCCCTTCCACGCTTCCTGTCTGCTCCCAGAGTCTCTGCAGGTGTCTGCCTCCTGGCCCTCAGAGCTGGGGCATAGAGTGCCATCCCCTTTAGCAACGAGGCTCTGATTAACCCCTGCAGTCCCAGTT